CCTCGTTTTGATTTTGTTTGTAGATGAATAGCTTTAACGACAAAACTAACTTGCCAACCAAATTGAAAACAAGGCTAAATCTCAGAAATTTCAAGGATTGGGAAAATTAGCTAAGAAGTGTTCTTAAGAGCCACAAGCTCGAGGCTCAGTTATACATTCCCATTGAAAGGCATGCGAAAGATGTATCAAATGCAGAGAGAATCAGGAATCTTATTTTAGCTTCTATTCCAACCTGTTGGAAGAGAAGGTTTAAGGATTATGAGCCAACCTTACTTCGAGAGTGCCTACATGCTATCTGTAGAGGTGGCATAGGGGCATTAGGGAGTGGAGGCATCATTGACAAGAATGTTAAGGAAATTGTTGATTCGATTCCCACGGTATATTTCTCTTGGACTGACAATGTAAGGTTTAAGACTTACAACATTCATTTCAAGATAATGGCTAAGAAACTCATACTTGGTCAGTCAGTTAGTTAGGACTCATGTCAAGGAACTAATTGAGTTACTCAATTGGATGGATATCCTAGGGAGACCGTTTGATGATGACTCTGCTCATGATACTATTCTGTTTTCACTCCATGCTTTATTTGATCTCGTCAAGCTAATTCATGATGATGAAGGCTCCATAATCACGCTTTTCGACTTATTGATCAACCACACTGAGGAGTACTTGAAGAAATAAGGAAGCCAGTGCTTCTATTGCGGTAGGTGGTCTTACCACTTACCAGAATGTCCCCATAACATGCCGTTGAAAATGGAAGGTAAGGAGTTACCTAATGTTTATGTTGTAGAAATTAACCTTACTTCCTCTTCCACATGGGTATTCGATACTGGTTGTGGTGCTCACATTGTTAATGACATGCAAGGCTTAAGAGTGAGTAAAAGGCTAGCAAAAGGGGAGATGTTGCTTCGAGTAGGAAATGGAGAAAATGTTGCTGCACTTGCTAATGGAAGCTATGAACTCAACCTCCCGTCTGGCCTCGTTTTTGTTCTTAATAACTGTTATTATGTTCCTGCGATTACTAAAAACATTGTTTTAGTTCCTGTTTTAGACACTGAAGGTTTTTCTTTTGAAATTAAAGACAAATGTTGTTTTATTTCAAAGAATAACATGTTATATGCCAGAGCAAAATTGGTTAATGGTTTATATGTAATAGATTGTATGACCCATGTCTATAACATAGATCATAAAAAGCAACAAACATATAGTTCAAACCCAACTTACCTATGGCATTGTAGGTTAGGTCATCTTAACCAATCGCGCATCTAAAAATTACAAAAGGATGGACTCCTTTCATCATTTGATTATGAATCATTTGAAAACTGCGAGTCATGCTTGCTAGGCAAACATTTTATTAAGTCTATACAATAGATCTTAATTCCCAACATGTACTATGTATCGCCTTTAGCTTGGTCCATTGTCGAAAATACTTTTAGATCTATGCATTTAGCATTTGATAGTCATTTCACAACAGAGTTCGTAAACTTCTTGTTGGACCTTTACATAATTGACTTTTGCTCCCACTAAAATTCTTTATTCAAAGAATTTCCATGTTTCTCAACAAGCCAAACCTTATATACATATTAACTTTATGAGAAAATACGTTCCAATTCCTACATGCAATGTTTCCCTTAATCAAGCAATGGATTACTTAAGCTTGCTTTCAAATCTAGCATTATTTAGATTTTCAAAACCCTTAGACTATTTCCATAGTCCCTTTCAAAGTCCCATTTTAGGAAGGCGGTTTTGGTATCTATATTGCCATATTTCATATGCGCGCTTTTGCTAGAATAATCACAAAAAGACTTAAGCATTCCGATCGGCGAATAGGTTTTTATTAAAATCAACGCCGTGAATTAATTGTATCCTTTTCAACCAATCTAGCTATGTATGCATATACATTTCCACATTTGTCGGTTTTCTCCTTGAAAACTTATTTTCGATTAATGGGTCTTTCACCCTTCATGCAAATTAATCAAGTTTTAAACATGATTTTCAACACATGGAGTCTTTTCCGGATTTTATGGCCTCTAACCATTATTCAGAATTTGGATTTGTCGTAGTTAATTTACAAGACACTAATCTCTTGCTATCCAATAGTAAATAGTATGCTTGTAATTCTTAGGTTTATTTCTAACTTAATAGAAAATTATAGGATTCAATCCAAGCCTTTGGTGAATTCTATACCAATACGAGGTAATTTCATCAAACACTGAGTTTCAAGGTGCTTTTAAAGCCTTTGATTATATTGATCTTACTCCAACACTTTGAAAGTTTTGTGAGTATTGAATTCTCATTTAAGGCACTTGTAAAGTCCTTTGAGTATTCTTTATCAATCATTCTCATAAAGCCCTTCTAAAGTCTTCTGAGATTCTCAGTTCTAGTTTGTTGCTAATCTCGATGGTCATCGAGTTCATTTTCTTTCCACTTATCGTTTTGGAAATGTGTTCTTTCCAGAAAGACGCCACTTAGAGCAACAAATACTATGTTCTTAATTGGGTTGTGGAAGTAATGCCCGTTGTCTCACTTGAATGCTTACAAAGAGAAATATATATTGTCTTTGGGTGAAAGTTCGTTGTGAAACAAACAGTTAGCTCCCACTTGAGCTACCTTAGCCCTTATTGAGCCACTTAGCTCCCACTGAGCCAATGAACTCCCACTGAGCTAAGACCCCTAGACATATAATTGAAAAGACGCTAGAAACTATTTCTATCCATAATTGAATATGGTGTCCTTTCTTAGCTTCGACATTTTATTTAATGTAACATTAGTCATTTGTGCAAACCTTTAAAAACTGTGTAGGAAGGGATGTGATCCATCATCATTTGAGTTATTTCCAAATGGCATCGAGTTCTCCGTCAAGACATACTATATTCTTTGTGGAGCTCATTATGAAATTCCAATTTCGTAACCTTGATATGATCACTCTTGGCTCAAGCAAACATCGCTCGATCTAATCTAGATGTTTTGCATAAAACGAAGCAAAAGAAATAAATATCTTTCGAGATTATTCTCAATAATTATATGTTTCGTTTTCTTCAAAAAAAAATATATGTTTCGTTTTTGTCTATTTATAGTTAGTTTTTTCCTTCCAATCAATCGGAAATGTCAGAATATATCGTTTCATTTTCACGGATTGAAGAAAGATATAGAGAATTTTTGATTTTTTACTTAATTTGAATTCCATATGATATTCAATAAACAATAAACAATAAAATACTAGGAAATTTAAAATGATAGCTTTTTTCACGCATGCATTCTCTATCCCATTGTCGGAACAAAAATATGGGATGCATGGATATAGAAATAGTTGGTACAGGAAACCACACTATCATCGCAATCTTATTTGATAGATAAGATCGAAATGCATTCCATTCTCGTCAATTTATTCCTATGGAATAACTAGGAATACAAAGATTTAATCGGAAATATCGACAAATTCAAGTCGAGTTCAAAGAAAAAAAAAAGGTCAACTGTTCCAATTTAATCACTATCAAATTTGAATATAAGAATAGCAGGCATATTCATGATTCAATAGGCAAGGTCCACTTAGTTTTCATTTATTGATTTTGAACTTTTCCATTCCAAGAAATTTGAGGCATTTCTGCACTGTTATTGCCACTTGTAGTGAACATTGCCCATAACAAATCTTTTGCAGCTCTAGGTCCAATTTTATTAGGACAATTGTACAAATGTCGGTTTAGATATAGAGAAGCTTTGTTTGTAGGTCAGAGTTTAGAAAATGTTGGTGGCCCATTGTAGTTGGTCACTTGTTGGGGTCATCTTTATACCACTTTGTGTATGGAGAAAACTGAAGAAGAAGTCAAGAAAGAGATGGCCCATTTTATAGTCTTCTCGATTCGTTGAATCGACTTGACGTTCGACGCTTGACTTCGACGCTTTAAGCTCGAAATCCGACGTCTAAGTTTGTAAAGTCCTTATTGACTTATTTAATCCTCCAGATTAATTCGTCACCTTTGTTTGGTTACACGATTGGGTGTGACCCGTAGGGTTCGGTAAAAAGCAAGCTGTAAGATTAATTATATTAATCTTACTGATCGAAAGCGGCCTTCAGCTAAGCACTCTGATCACTTGACTTTACTGAATAATTAGCCTTCCTAATTAATTCCGAACCCTCTATCAGAATAATACACTTGTACGAAGGACGACATTTCTTTTGAAGGGGGGGGGGGGGGCTAGACACTGAAATGAAGGGGGAAGGGGAGCTGGGCTGGTAAGGGAGGGGGTGTCGGGGTTGGTGAAGAGACGAGGTGGGTTTTTTCTTTTAAAAAAATTATTATATTGTTAAAAAATAAATATAAAAATTTAGTTGGTTTTGAGGGCATTAAGTGAAGAACATTATGGAGATTTCAGTCTTTTTTTTTTTTTTTTTTTTTTTTTTTGTTGTAATTAAAAAATATGTTAATCATGGTTAAACATTTATTAAATTGTTTCATTAAGGTCACCATTGGATTATATAGCTAATTAAAGTTTACCAGGGATACGATAATAAGTAATTTTACAATTTACCACTGAGAAAATTGAAAAATACATTATTACCAAAGATAATTTCCCAAAACCTTATTAGCATTTTACTCCCTTTTATAGCCATAATCTTACTAACCACTTTGAGTTTTACTTAAAGAGACATAATTGTGCTATGTTTAAAAAACCAATGACACAATATTCAATTACAATGGTCCTTTACAACACTAACTAATAAGCTAAGAACATCATTCAAGCATAATAAAAAAATGTAACACATCAATTTATTGACCCGCAATATTCAAAATCACATCCTAATTTAAAATAAAATACAATTTTATAAAAAAAATTTGTTCATCAAATGACAAAAATGTAAATAAATCAACAATTTTTTGTTAATATATGGGACCAAGAATTATTGATTTACTTACAGAAATTGAATAAAATTGTTGATTTATTTACAATTTTACCATTTGATTGACAAAAAACGAAGCATGTAAATTGGGGCTTTCTCATTAACTTAAGAGCATTTCACCATACACTTTTGCACTGCCCTAGTAATATGATTATGAAAGTATAGAGCAAAGTAAGTAACCGGGCAACGCTGGTACAAGTATCGGCTATTGCATCGTCACCCAAACTCAAAATTCATCCCCAAATTTGATCTACTCAAGCTAAATCACCGATGATCGCTAAAACATTACAATGTCGACAACTCTCTACCTTCCAAAATCTAGGCAAACTTTGTACCACTCTCAACAATGGCAGAAATGAAGCTCCTGAAGAATCAACAATGGTGAGAGACCTAACTTCAATGCTTAGAAATAAGCCTCAGAATTCGTGGAAATACGCCATTTCTAATCAAAATCTCAAGCTTCAACCTCGCCATGTTGATAAGGTGTTGCTTCAAACCCTAGATAATCCAAGGTTAGCTCTTCGTTTCTTTAATTTCTTAGGTCTCCATTACAATTTCTCTCATTCAATGGCGTCTTTCTCTATCCTTGTTCATGCCCTTGTTCAGTCCAATCTTTTCTGGCCTGCTTCATCTCTTGTGCAAACCCTAATTCATCACCATAATCATCAACCCCCAGATATTTTCCATGTATTTCTTGCGGTTTTTAAGGATTACGGGTTTTCGTCGTTGCTGGGTTTTGACTTGTTGATCCAGAATTACGTGCAATGCAAGAGGCAAATTGATGGAGTTGTTGTTCTTAAGCTGATGCTTGAGAATGACATTGTACCTGAGGTTAGGACTCTCAGTACTTTATTTCATGCCTTAATTGGAATTCGGAGATTTAGTTTAGTTCTTGAATTGTACGACCAAATTTTCAGCGGTTTTCATAATATGCGTCCTGATGTCTATGTATGTACGGCGGTGATTCGCTGTTTGTGTGAGTGCAGAGAGGTAGATAGAGCTCTAGAGGTTGTCCATATGATGGAAGAGAGTGGCTGTGAATTGAGTGTTGTAACTTATAATGTGCTGATACGTGGGTTGTGTAAAAATCAGAGGGCTCTGGAAGGTGTTGATATTAAGAGCTCGTTGGGTCATAAGGGGTTGAGTGCTGATGTTATCACTTATTGCACATTGGTGCTTGGGTTATGCCAAGCTGAAGAGTATTTGAAGGCGTTGGAAATGACGAAAGAAATGTTGCAACTTGGGTTGGTTCCGAGTGAGGGTGTGGTTTCTACTCTTGTTGAAGGGCTTAGGAAGAAAGGGGAGGTTATGGATGCATTTAGTGTGGTTGATGAATTGGCGAGGCATAAAGCTGTGCCCAACGTGGTTGTTTACACTGCTCTAATCAGTTCTCTTTGGAAGGATGGAAAACTAAAACAAGCAGAGTCCCTGTTTAAGAGCATGGAGCAGAGGGGATTAATTGCAAATGAAGTTACTTATTTGGCCATGATTGACTCGTTCTGCAAGCAAGGAAGGCTTGATGATGGACTTAGACTACTTGCGAAAATGTCAGAGACGAAAGTAAAAATCACAGACTATGCGTACAATTCCTTGATTCATGGGCATTGTAAGTTTGGAAAGTTGAACACTGCTGAGGTTCTTTTCAAAGAAATGATCAGTAAGGGATTGACACCAACTGTGGTAACTTATACATCCTTCATTAGTACGTATTGCAGTGTTGGAAAGCTTAATAAAGCATTTAGGCTCTATCATGAGATGATTGGGAAGGGCATTGCACCAAATACTTACACATATACAGCATTAATTCATGGTCTTTGCCGTGCAAGGAGGTTGGATGATGCAAACAATTATTTTAAGGAAATGGTTGAGGGAGGTATTTACTGCAATGAGGTGACCTATAACGTACTGATTGATGGCTATTGTAAGGAAGGTGATATATCTAAAGCTTTTCACTTGCTGAGAGAAATGTTAGGAAAGGGTCTTGTTCCAGACACGTACACCTACAGGTCCTTAATATCTGGGCTCTGCTCTGTTGGAAAGTTGTTTGACGCAAAAAAGCTTGTGGATGATCTTCTCAAGGAACATTTTGAATTAAATGAAATGTGTTTCAGTGCCCTTTTGCAAGGGTATAACAAGGCGGGGAGAGTACAGGATGTACTGTGTGTTTATGGTGAGATGATAGAGAGACAAATCAAAATGGACCTTGTCTGTTACGCAATACTTATTGATGCTACACTTAAACAGAACAATAGGGAGAGGCTATTGCTGATCTTACAGGAGATGAATTGCAAAGGATTGAAACCCGATAATGTCATTTATACAAGTATGGTTAGTGCCTACACCAAGGCAGGGAATCTTAAGAAGGCATTTCAACTTTGGGATATTATGATCAGTGAAGGATGTAAGCCAAATATTGTTACCTACACTGCCCTTATCAATGGCTTATGTAGTCTGGGAAATGTAAGCAAAGCATATCTCGTCTACAACAAAATGCTCACCCATGACACATATCCAAATCAGGTTACTTATGGATGCTTTCTTAGCTACTACACCAGCACTGGAAATGTAGACAATGCTGTACAGCTTCATAAGTTGATGATTAAAGGGTTTTTGGCCAACACAGTTACATATAATATTCTAATACATGGTTTTTGCAAACTTGGTAGGATTCAGGAGGCATTTGATCTTATTGGAGAGATGAGAGAAAATGCTATCAAACCTGATTGTGTGAGCTATTCTACTATAATGTATGAGTACTGTAGAGGTGGTAATATGCAGGAAGCTTTTAGGATATGGGATTCTATGCTGAGTGAGAGCATATTTCCTGATTCAATAGCTTATAATTTCTTGATCTCTGGTTGCCATTTATCCGGAGATATTGAGAAGGCTGCAATGCTGAGGGATGACATGGTAAAAAAGGGTGTCACAGCTGATACAAAACCTGATCATTCTTGGGTTGGTACTTAAAGGTAGCTACATGGAAGCCAATCTGTTTCAACTAGATGATAGCTCTACTGCTACCAGGTGAGTACTTACATCGAATCACAACTTCCATTAAGATTTTTAATATGATTAAGGGCCTATGCTGAACTTCTCAGATTTAATTTCTTGCTTGGTTAAATCAAATTCCTCTTGCCTCAATCGTACTTCAGAATTGGTTAACAATTTACCTTTGTTTGCTGTCATAAAAACTAGGAAAGCAGTCAATAGAAGGATGGAGACAATATTGTTGCTTATAAGCAAAATTTGTGAAGGAGTGAACAAAAAACTTTAAGCATGGGGTAAAGGTGAAAAGGTCTGGTAAGAGTAGATTGTCAAGGCCAATATATGTGAAAAGTGTCACAAATTGTGACTTGGTACCGTGAACTGGTACTTGTGACTCTCCTCGAGAGGAGAGACTATCATAAAATTTTCATCTGCCTAAACTAATTTGAGAATCAAACAAGTTAATCCTCCATTATTCCCCCGATTGTAATCAGAAGAAAGTACAACAATTTATTACAACCAACTCCACACCTCCTGTCCATGCCATAGCACTTGGCTTCTTCTTTGTTTATTCTTCTTATGCACATACTACTTGGACTTAAGTGAATGGATTAAGCCCAATCTACAACATGCACTATGTTAAAAATCTAAGGCTTGTGGGCTATGAAAACCATGAGCTTATATAATAGACTAAAGACTGATTGTATGAAACAGGACACTATAACAGTGAATGCAAGTCGAAAGCTTGACTCTTGATTAAACTAATTTACAAAACTTACAAAAGGATAGTAGGTTTAGACTACAAATCTCCTATTAGCAACTTGAGGCTGCTGCTCTATATTTCCAAATAACTCAATTCACGCATACCGCGTCAAGGTTAGTCCTCCTTTATATACTGCAATAATATTACAAAAAGTACTCTTAACATTAATGACTATTTGTCCCTTACCGATCAAGTATTCAGAGCTCAGTTTTTCACTCCTTCTAGTGTTTCATGAATTGCTACTGTCCTCTTCCGCTTTTTGCTGATTCTGCTCTTGTCTTCTTTCCCTTCTTGCTGATTCTGTGCTGCTGCTTGTTCCCCCTGTTGCCTTTGCCTTGCTTCTGTTCTGCCTTCCTGTGTGACCCCATAAGGGTGGCCGAAGTGGTCTCATGTCACCCGGATCCATCACAAATTATTGACAAGCTAAACGAGAATGCAATTAAATTTCAGCAAACAGGGAATCAGTCTAGCTGTTTAACAAGCCCAAGGTACACAAGAAATTTTTGCTTAGAAGCAAACAAATTGAAGCTCATTGAGTTCAAAACCAAAGTGATGAATTCTTCCATAGTTGTTGCCTTTGAATCCATAGAGTTTGTAGCATGTGTTTGCCTCTCCTTTCTAACATTCTTGAATAAAACTAATGGGGTGTCTACTGAGTAGTCTGGATTGTATGGGCTCTTTACTACTGTTGTGTGCTGAGTCTTGATCTCTTGATTTAGCATGGATCCATTGATTACCTCAACTATCAAGAGACATCGGCTCCATCAAAGCCATCTTCTTGTATTGGAGCAACAGTTGCAGCTCCAACTATTGTACCATCAGGATCTACACGTACTGTCACATTTTCATTATCATGGGATTGCCCTGAGGTGACATTTTCGAAAGGAAGAACGTACCATTGGTAAGTGTAAATACTCATAGGATATCTTTAACTATGATCATGCTTAGACTTTGTCTTATTCTCTATTATGACTGGTTCAGGCGGTATACGAAGTTTTATGGCACTTCTGGTAACGCAGCGGCAGATATCGCACACGATGCTATAGTTGGTAAGTAATGTAATTTTGAACATCATGATCGATTGAGTTATCTCAGCTGAGACAATGCTTTTGGCTCCTATCCTATGTAGATAATCAGCGTTGGGAGTTTCAAATTGAAGCATGGCAGAGACTTATACTTGAAGACAAGCGATTTCCAGAATGGTGAGTCTGGAACTGCAATTTTGCACTTGTGTTGGGTCTTGTAACTAGTCTGCATTTCTTTTAGCATGTGAAATTTTTTCATTTTTGTTTGTTTTGTCAGGTATCCTGTTACTCTTTTTAATGAGCTTTATTACCTTAATGCTGGGGGAACTGTGTGGACAGGTTTGAAATTGGCTTTGGGACTTCAATCTTAGTAGTCAGTAATGTTTTGTAAATTTGACATAAACTTTTATATACATTAATTGCAGATGGCTCTCCTCCACTGCAGACTACAGTGACTATAAAGGAAAAAGAATTTTCACTTGAGAAGTCTAACTCTGATTTTGTAAACACTACCACCAATATCACTACACAAAATGATACGGCTGTCGATATCCTCGAGAAAGTGACTTTGATACTTCAGCAAACGCATATAACAGCTAATTCTAATTCTGCTTTTGGTCCCAATTTGATTTTAGAAGGGGAGGAAAACATTGGTCAATTTCTTTACTATGAAGGCATTGAGTATCACATGCGGAACACATATGATGTTCATTTTTATGCATCGTTTTCTTTGGTAATGCTATTTCCAGAGCTTGAACTTAGCATCCAGAGAGATTTTGCTGCAGCAGTTCTACTGCATGATCCTAGTAAAATGAAACTTCTACATGACGGGAAATGGGCATCAGGGAAAGTTCTTGGTGCTGTTCCTCATGATAATGGGCTTAATGACCCATGGTTTGAAGTGAATGCTTACAGCCTCCATAACACTGACCGATGGAAAGATTTAAACCCAAAATTTGTTCTCCAGGTATACAGGAATGTCGTAGCCACAGGTGACAAGAAATTCGCACAAGTTGTTTGGCCTTCTGTTTATGTGGCGATGGCCTATATCGATCAATTTGACAAGGATGGGGATGGTATGATTGAAAATGATGGATTTCCTGATCAGACGTATGACACATGGTCAGTCTCCGGTGTGAGTGCTTATTGTGGAGGGCTGTGGGTTGCAGCACTTGAAGCAGCTTCAGCCCTAGCTCGTGAAGTTGGTGATAAGGGTTCACAGGATTATTTTTGGTTTAAATTTCAGAAAGCAAAGGCTGTTTATCTGAAGTTATGGAATGGTTCATATTTCAATTACGACAGCAGTGGTGGTATGTAATGGACCGAGTAATTGGGCCTGTTAAGCCACCTATTCTCAAGCAATATCAGAGGAGGGGTAAGGTTGTCCAACCCAGCCTTCAACCAATCACAACAGCAGCAACAAATGAGGAGGTGGCAAAACAATTAAAAGGAGCAGAGAGCAGTAGCAACTTTGGTAGTGGAACCATGGCAAAACAATGGTAGTGAATGAAGACAAGAATTAAGGACAGCTAGTACTATTTTGTAATCCTTGTGTATAAATTAAGGGGGTTGGGGTGAGAAGTTTTGGCATGTGATTAGATTGATTTGAATTGAAACTTGTATCCTAAAGATACTATCTTGGAGATTGGTAGGCTGAAGCTACCGTTTGTTTTCTCTTTCATTAATGAAACACAATTGCTAGCTGCCTCGCTTGCTTCGTTTTTCTTATTGTTCATTCCTGTTTTCGTGTGTAGTAGTGTAGGTGAGGGTTGAGTCTCTCACAAGTGGTATTAAAGCAGGTCGGTTTTGCGGCCGTCGGCGACGAGGCCATCGTCCGAGGGTTTTTGTCCTTATTATTTTTTTTTTTTGTAAAAAAAAAATGGTTCTTACAGTTGCCCAACGTTGCGACGCGGTGGAAGGGAGGTTGGAAGAGGTTGAGCAGCAACTGGGTACTTTGGCGAAGTGGCTGAAATCGCAGGAGGTCTTTAAGAAGAACTTGGAGGAGGCGGTAATGAAGATTGAAGGGAGGATCGATCGATTTCGAACTCAACAGAGCGGAACATGGAGAAGAGGGAACACGAGAAGTTCCAGCAAGAGCTCCGGGAGTTGGTGGCTGGTCGTCAAAAATCCCCTCAACCATCACCATTGTTTGCGGAAGAAGAACAATCTAATGTTCAGAACAACAGGTGGAACAAGGATGGAGAGGGCGAGAATAGAGAGTACGGAGGGAGGTTGAAACATCGGAAACTTGAGATGCCGGTGTTCGAGGGCTCCGATCCGGATAATTGGATTCTAAGGGCTGAGATGTTCTTTGATTTCTATAGGCTGGTAGAGAGGGAGAAGTTGGAAGCGGTCGAGGTCGCCATGGACGGCGTGACGTTGAAGTTGTATCAGTGGGAGAACAAACGGTAGCCGTTGGTAGGTTAGTAGGACTTACGTCGGTGGGTGTTGCATGAGTTCCGTCCAGCCAACGCCGGAACGTTGCATGAGCAGTGGTTAGCCACCACCCAGAACACCATGGTGGGTGGCTTATCGCCGCAAGTTCATCGACCTTGCCGCTCTCTTGGAGGATGTGTCAGAAAATCTAATGTTTGGTCAATTTATAAATGGGTTTAAGGAAGATATCAGATTGAAGGTCCGAGTTAAGCCCGACTACGTTGGAGCAGGCCATGGATCTAGCCGGGCGGGTTGAAGAACGAAATCGGGTTAGCAAACTCAGAAGAGGGGTTGGTTGACTTTAGAGGGGAGTGGGCTCAAATTCGTAAGCAGCCGGCCCAAGCTCTTCCAAAGGGGGCAGTGGTGGGCTGGTACCCCAAGCCCACCCCACATTACTTGTACATGGTCAAAGCCCCCAGAATCTGTTGGGCCAGTTAATCCGGGCCAAATCGAGTGGTGCTTCAACAAGCAAGAACCCAGGAGAAACAAGAAGGTTGTCTAAGTTTGAGTTGGCGGAACGACGGGCTAAAGGTCTGTGTTTCCGTTGCGATGAGAGGTGGGGTGTCGGGCATCGGTGTAAGAGGAAGGAGATGAGTGTTCTATTGGTGGCCGATGAAAGTGTTGGGGTAGAGATTGTTGTCCAAGGGGATGAGCCGAGTGATGAGGGAGAGGGAGATAGGCAAGTTGAGGTGTTGTTGTGTTCGGTAGTGGGGCCGTCTAACCCCAAGACCATAAAATTGAGGGGAAAAGTAAGGAATGGGGGAGTGATTGTGATGATCGACTCGGGGGGGGGGGGACTCACAATTTCATTTCAAAGTCGGTGTTAGAAAGGACTCAATTACTAATCACGAAGGGAGGATAGTTTGGGGTAGCTTTGGGTTATGGAGAGATGGTTCAAGGGAGTGGGGTGTGTCAAGGGGTGAGAGTGAAGCTCGATGGTGGGGTGATCATAGTGGAGGATTTCTTGCCACTTGAGTTGGGTAATGCCGATATTATCTTAGGTGCAATGGTTGGAGAAGTTAGGATCGGTGACAACAAATTGGAAAATTGTTGGGTTTCGTAGCGTCCAACGTTACATGGAAGAGAAACCTGCCCAAGACCCGCCCCAATAATTAAAGCAATAAAGCATGCATAAACATAATTAAACAATAATTAAGAAAAGGGATAAAGAAGTAATACCATTGAAGCGTGCTTCGCTCGCATACTGAGCTCTTACTTCGAAGTTTAAAGCCTCACAAGCGTGACGGCCTCCAACGGCTCGTACCCACGACCCGACCCGAACGATCTTCGCCTCGAGGGTTCGTCGAGACTTAACCAAGTATAAAACTAGATTTTTACGAACTTAAAGGTTTTCTCAATAATAAGAGATGCCTTTTTGAGTTCCACTCTAGTTTATTTCCAAATGCCCAATCTTGGGGTATTTATAGGGAAATGCAACTTGCACTCCCATTCATGATCAATGTGGGATAGTTGCATTTTTCATTTAACTTATTTAAATCAAAAATAAATTATAAAACAATGCAATCAACAATCAACAAGTGGCATGAGGAGAGGAAAGGTTAGGTGGGGACCATGACCATGGGGGGATCATTGCCTTGCTCCCCAAGGCATGACTCTAAGCCTTGGTCCCCACTCTCCTTAAACCGGCATCAAGGACAAGGTGAGCTGGCTGCCAACCTTGCTGCCCAGCTAGCACAGCCAGCCTGCCCTTGTCAGCACGCCCCAGCACATGCGTGCTGCTAGCGAGCCACGCATGCTGTTGGGCGCACAGCAGTGCTAGGCGCTGGGCTAGGCGTCAAGATCGCTGCTTGCTGCTTGGTGCTGCCATGCGAAGGCACGCACACAAGCAAGCAAGCACAGCGTGCTGCTGTTGCGATGGTGCTGCCATGCGCCTAGTGCTAGCGATGCACACACACACTCAAGCTCCCAGCTGTGCAATGGTGTGCTGTGCGCCTAGTGCTAGCGATGCACACACACGCAAGGTCCTAGCTATGCGATGGTCTGCTGTGCGCCTAGTGCTAGCGAAGCACGCACACACGCAAGCTCCTAGCTATGCGATGGTGCGGTGCTAGCTCAAGCTAGCCTAGCGTCCACATGGCTAGGCCATTGTGATGCTACGGCTATGCTTGAACTTGTTGCTTGTTGATTTTGCGACGCTCGGTCTCGACGCCCTAAGCTCGATATCCGACGTCTGTGTTTGTAATACTCTAGTGACTCATCAAATCCTTCGGATTGATTCGTCGGTTCGGATCGGCAGTTCGTTTGGGTTCGATCCAAAAGGTTCAGTCAAGAGAAAGCTGTAATACTAATTGTTCATTAATATTACAGATCGGAAGCGGCCTCCACCCAGGCATTCCGATCACTTGATCTCACTGAGGAATTAGCTTCCTGATAATTCCAAACCCTCTATTAGAATAATACACTTGTTGGAAGGACACCATTCCTTTCAAAAACTCATGTCATGAGATTTACGGTGGCGGGGGTTCCGGTGATTCTCACGGGGGATCACACATTAGAGACGACCATGGTCTCCCTCAAGGCCATGATTAGGACAATTAGCAAGGAGAGACAAGGGGTGTTAGTAAAGGTGAACGCGGTGGAGAGTGGTGAGAAGAGCTCAGTAGGGGTTGCCGAAGAGCACCCACATCCACCCTTCTTGGCTGATGTGGCGCGTGAATACGGTAGCGTATTTGAGATGCCGGAAGGCTTGCCTCCAAGTCGAGGGAGGGAGCACCACATTGTGTTGAAAGAAGGGAGTAATCTGGTGAGTGTGAGGCCGTATCGATATCCTCAAATCCAAAAAGATGAGATCAAACGATTGATAAAACAAATGTTGGAGGCTAGGATAATCAAGCCTTCAAGCAGCCCTTTTTCAAGCCCCGTTTTGCTTGTGAAGAAGGACGGGTCGTGGCGCTTTTGCGTTGACTATCGCGCCCTTAACTAGGAAACGGTGCCAGATAAGTATCCAATACCGGTGATAGATGAGCTCTTGGATGAGCTGAGTGGAGCTACAATCTTTTCGAAACTTGATCTTAAATCGGGTTATCACCAAATCTTAAATGAGCTACACTCATAAGACCGCATTTTGTACACATGAAGGTCATTATGAGTTCTTGGTTATGCCATTTGTCCTAACCAACGCTCCATCCACCTTCCAATAATTAATGAACGATGTTTTTAGGCCATTTTTAAGCCGGTTTGTGTTGGTGTTTTTTGACGACATACTCATCTATAGTAGATGAGAAGATGAGCATCGAGAACATGTGAGACTAGTCTTGGAAAAGCTGGCCGAATAGAAATTGTATGCAAACATTAAAAATTGTGAATTCAGAAGGAGAAAGATCGCATATTTAGGCCATGTGATTTTGCAAGAGGAGTGGCCATGGATGAGGAAAAGGTTAGGGCCATTTTGGAGTGGAGGGAGCTTAGAAACTTGCGTGAGTTACGGGGTTTCTTGGTATTAACCGGCTACTACCGCAAATTTGTGGCTAATTATGCTAGCATTACAACTCCCTTGACATCCTAGTTAACGAAAGATTGTTTCGGCTGGTTGGATTTGGCCACTCAAACCTTTAACCGATTCAAAGGGCAATGACCACCGCTCTCGTGCTAGCAATGTCGGACTTCGGCAAAGAGTTCATATCGGCGACCGATGCTTCCGGGTTTGGCTTAGGGGCGGTATTGATGCAAGGAGGAAAACCTATTGCCTTCTTTACACTAGGAGAAAAATGGTAATGAGCACCGGTTCAAACCCCCCATTTAGCACCGGTTTTGAACCGGTCCAGATTTGAGGGATGCCAAAAACCAGAAGATTTCGCACAGGTTCAAAACCGGTGCCAATTCTTAAATTTCGCACTAGTTAACCAATACGGATTAAACTCTTTGGCACCGGTTAACCGGTGCTAAAAGTACCTGGCGCGCTTTTTTTTTGGCAATAAGTAATAATATTAATACTAATAATAACAATAATAATAATAATAATAATAATAATAATAATAATAATAATAATAATAATAAACCTGTACATCCTGCATTAATTATTATAATAACACTAATTATTATAATAATAACACTAATTATTATAATAACAATAATAGTTATAATAATTATTATTATTACAATATTAAAAATAACTGTAATGATAATAATTTCTAAATTGAAATAATAACAATAATACATAGATATTAATTAATAATCCCAAATGCAATACAATGAAGGGTCATATTTACAATTCCTCAAAAAAAAGAAAAAGAAGTGTCGTATTTACAAATAATACTAATTAATAATGTAGTTAAAAAG